TTGGCACCTGTAATATCAGCAGCTGAGACTTCCACATAAATTTCTACAGAAGTATTGAACGCACGGGTGACCGTAGCAGTTAGCGTGATTACATCTCCAAGTTTGATAGGTTCATGAAATGAAATATGATCCACCGAAGCCGTTGCCACTTGTGACTCGCAGTGTCGCGCTGCACAAACTGCACATGCAATATCCATCCACCTCATCAGATATCCACCCATCAGATTTCCCATTGGGTTGGTATCATTGGGCATGATCATTTCAGTCATAATGGTACGAGATTCAGCTACTAATTTTTCACGCATAAGGAATGATTTATAAATTCTATTCGATAAAGGTACAAAGAACTATATTTTTAAAATATATAATTCACAAAATTTAAAAACAGCAAAAGTAAATATATGTTCTTAAAACAATCAAATATTCTGAATCTTAGTCAAGACTCACACCAGCTCAAATTCAAATAAATCAGCAAAAACTGAAACAAGTTTTCCTCCTACTTCTTGCAGCGGAACTTCACGACCAAGCTCTTTGGCTAAGGAAGTCACTGTTTTGTTTTCATCCACAATGCCACATGGAATGATCTTATTAAAGTAATCTAGGTCCGTATTAATGTTGAAGGCAAAACCATGCATACTGACCCATCTAGAAAGGTGGACGCCAATAGCACAGATTTTTCTGTATTGATCAGATGTTTCATTCGGCGGAAGCCATACGCCTGTGTAAGAATCGATGCGCTCACCTTTGAGTCCATATAGCGCCAGAACTTGTATAATTGCTTCTTCTATCATTCGCACATACTTATGCACGTCTGTAAAAAATTCGTCTAGGTCAAATATAGGGTAACCAGTAATCTGTCCAGGTCCATGATAAGTAATGTCTCCTCCCCTATTTATTTTGAAAAATTCAATATGACCTTTTGACAACTCTGCATCCGTTAGTAGTAAATGATCGATAGAACCACTCTTACCAAGGGTAAAAACAGGCGAATGCTCACAAAATATTAGTTGATTTTTT